GCGCATGCAATCACATCTCTGTACTGTCTTTCCACTCCTGCATGGATCAGTGCATACAATCACATCCCTGTACAGACTTTCCACTGCTGCACAGAGCAGAGCATCTTTGGTGGTATGTGTCTATTGTTTGCTCTCTCGTCCCACCATGTGCCACATGTGAGAATCCCTGGAGTTCCCATGCTAGTCTGGCCCCTTGACCAGCGTCCTGTCCTTTGTTCCAACCACCAGGGCACGCCAGTCAAGCTCAAACTGCCAGTGTCTTTTCTTTTTTTCCTATGCTTTTCACTGGCCTAGAACACGGCAGGGGAGGGGCAACTTCAAGCAGTGTCTAGCAGGAATCAGGATGTGTGCTCCCTTTGTGTTACTGTGATGAGAATACTGACACAAACAGCTTAGAGATGGGGCTGAGAGATGGAGCAGAGGCTCAGAGCACTGGCTCCTCGTCCGGGGGTTCAATTCCCACCACCCACATTGTGGCTCATGGCCATCTACAGTGGGATCTGATGCCCTCTTCTGGAACGAAGGTGTACAAGCAGGTAGAGTACTCATACCCATAAAGTATTTTTTTTTAAAAGGAAAATTTGGTTCATATGATTTGGCCACAGGAGTTTGGGTAGAATCATGACAGCCTGTGGTGGAAGAGAGTTGCTCACTCCATCTAAGACAGGGAACGGAAGACTAGGAAGAGGTTAGGAACAATAACTATCCAAGAGCCCTCCTCTGGAGACCTACTCCCTCCAACTAGACTCCACCTCTGTAAGTTTCTAGGATCTCCCAAAAACAGTGCCGCTAGCTGGACACCAGGCTCCCCGAACCTGGAGACCAAGCTCCAAACAGACAGTATAAAGATGCCCTCTTCCCTCACGTCTTTGGGAGACCACAAGCGTGTGCTTTATATCAACTGTTGGATTAACCTTTCACTTGCCCCCTCAATTCCACTCCCCCCGTACCTGGTCTAACCACTGACCCATTGATGATGCATGAACTCTGCGTGTCACTGAGGGCAGGAAACCTTGCCAGTCCACACATATTCAGACTTCACTGTGCCTACTTCTTAAAGGGTGAGGCTGAGGGACAAGGGCCAGTATTTCCACCCTGGACCTGTGCCTGTACATTGTGAAAGGAACTGGATTACTTTATTTTTGAAAAATCCCAAAGTTGAGAGAATTTTACCTGTTCACATTTTACAGTTGATTGAAATCCATTTATTCTTTTCTCTTTCCGTCCATCAGTCATGCTGTGTTTCTCTATCAATTTATAGGCAACGGGATACATTTATTTATTTATTTATTGTTCAAAGACAGAGTTTCTCTGTGTACATTGGGCTGTCCTAGAACTTTCTTTATAGACTAGGCTGGCTTTGAACTCAGAGATCCACCTGTCTCTGGCTCCCAAATGCTGGGAATAAAGGCGTGCACCACCACAGCCTGGCTGGGATCCTTCTCTTTAACTGTTTTGTTGGCAGGATGAGGAGATCGCTCAGTGGTTAGGAGCACAGGTTATTCTTACAGAAGACCCGGGGCTTAGTTAGCATTTATTTCTATTGCTGCAAAAAGATACCATGACCATGGCAACTCTGTATTGCAAAGAAACATTTAATTGAGACTGGCCTACAGTTCAGAGGTTTAGTCTATTGTTGCCCAGGCTTGAAGCATGGCAGCATGCAGGCAGGCATGGTGCTGGAGAAGGAGCTGAGAGTTCGACATCCGGATCCGCAGGCAGCAGGAGGAGTCACATGGAGCCTGGTTCGAGCATCACCTCTGGTGACACACTTCCTCCAACAAGGCCACACCTCCTCATAGTGCTAATCCCTATGGACCTATGGGGGCCACTGTCATCAAACCACAACCCAGGTGTGGATGCCAGCATCTCACGTAGCAGCTCACAACCCTCTGGAACTCCAGTTCCGGGCATCTGTCACCCTCTTCTGACCTCCTTGGGCATACACATTCTGCAAACACATACATGCAGGCAAAACACTCATACACATAAAATAAAATCAATAAATCTAAAACTAAGTAAACACCTTACTAGCTAGGTTCAATATTTGTTTCTTCTAATGTAAAGTTAGCTTTCAGCAACATATATCTCTAAAAACGTCCACCTGTCATTTGGACATTGCACATCTACCTTCCAGGAACTGGATTCGTGATGGAAGCAGTATAGGCTTTTCTTTTTAAAAATTTATCAGTGTGTGTGTGTGTGCGTGTGTTCAGGTGTGCTTGCCTGTGATGCACACGTGAAGACGAGACACTGAGTGTCTTCTATCATTCTCTATCATATTTTTGGAGACAGCTTCTCTCACTGAACCCGGAACTCACATTTCAGCAGGGACTCCCTGGGATCAGCCTGTCTGGGGACACAGCCAGTGTCATGCTGGGGTCATGGTGCCAGGCCACTCACTCACGTGGCTTTTCCACGTGTGCTGGAGATGCCACTCAGGTTCTGGTGCTCGGGCAGCAAGCACTTGACCCACGGAATCATCATCAGCCCAGCCCTGTTCTTTACGTATCTGCACACTTCCTACTGCCCTGCAGAGTTTAGAAACTACAAGTGGCTCCAGCTGTAGGATATGGTGTAAAACAACTTCAGTACCAAATGCTCATGCGATCATTTAAAAAATGGTAGGGAATATTTAGTTCAACGAGTAAACAGGATAGCGGGCTTGAAGGTGATTCGGCATTCTGATCACAGCACCTGTATGTATCAATAGTCTAAAAGTAATCTGAATTCAGTAGACATTTCAGCATCTGCGGTGGAAAGAAATATGGTAAAATAGCATGAACTTCCATACTCTGCACAGGTCCTCTAGCGCCCTCTTCTGATCTCATATGGTACTGCATGCCAGGCTGAAGTTGTTGGCTTCTCTTGGGTTTTGTGAGGGTCCCCTCCCAAAAGGCCACACCCACGTTAAAGACTCCCTCAGGCTGCGGACTGGTAAGAACTTCAGACTGTGGAGAGCTGGAACGTGGCAAAGTTACCTTGGGCTGTTTTCAGTCCCCTTACTTGCTATCCATTGCAGACCCATCTGACCTAACACCCTTGGGGCTATTAAGTGAAAGCTTTGGAATGTCTGAACAGACCTCTAGGCTACAGCAACCCAAAGGTTAAGAATGCCATGAGAGAGTAGGTTACACTCCATTTAGCATGGCATGAGACCCACAGCAGAGACGGCCCCATTTTGCTGTAACCCACTTACCCAATGTCTCCACCCATGGATTTAAAAAGTGCTTTAAATGGGCTTTTCTGGACCTCTTGAAAACATGAAACTGTTGCCATGTTTGAACAGATATTTGAGGTATTTAGATGAATACATCTTCACAGGCCTTAGTCACTCAGACTGACTCCAGAATCAACTATTTCTTACTTTTTTGAGAGGAAGGCTACACTGTCTGTAGAAAGAGTTCTGGTAAAGTCAATGGAACATTTTCCTGGGATAATGTTTATAAATGCATAAAATAGAATAAAGAAAACAAACAGAATCATCGTATTGAAATGCAGAGACACTGGTACTGAGATACCAAATAAACAAATTTGTTGTTTAACGCCTTATTAAACAATCAGTAACTGTTATAATTTCAAAGTTACGACAATATTTTCAGATCTCTGTAGCAACAGTCACCTGGCACGTAAACACTTGTGGTTTTGTCACTGCGAAAGCATTAGGTAGAAGTCCTGACAACTGTCAATGATGATGCACCACAAACAGGGTAGCTGGGGCGGATTCCCATCTTCCCTGTGGCGGAAGCAGGAGTCCTAACTCCCTGCTGAGCCTCTGGGGTTCTTCCTGCCTCCTCCAGCTCCCCATGACCCCAGGGTAGCCTGGTACATGGCTAGAAGGCCATCTCTATTGATCGCTTTCATTCTAACACGGGCACCCTTAACTGTCCCCAGGAAACAAGCCACTGCCAGGCACTGTGGTGTACCTTCTTTCCTGCTGTGAACAGGAAGGAAGCCCTTGCTGCTGAGCAGGAGCCAGCAGCCAGACAACAGTGTCAGGCAGCTTGACACATGGTGAGACCAACCCCAGGCTCCCGGTCTCCCGGAGACCAAAGCAAAGGAGAGAGCACATGGATGGGAAGGGGCAGGCATCTCTTACTGAGGCTCGTGGAACTTGAGTTAGGTCTGGGATGCTGGAAGAATGAGAGCCATCAAAACAAGTTCAGATGGTGGGACCAGAACAAGGTGAAACAGAACCACAGATGTTTCATATTTAGTTAAAAAGTTAAGTGCACTGCTCAGGCTAGTTTGTCCTCCCTCCGTCCCTCCGTCCCTCCGTCCCTCCATCCCTCCCTTCCTCCGTCCCTCTGTCCCTCCGTCCTTCCCTCCCTCCATCCGTCCCTCCCTCCCTCCCTCCCTCCGTCCCTCCCTCCCTCCGTCCCTCCGTTCCTCCCTCCTTTCTTGCTCAGTGTGACATAGCTAGGATCATCAGGGGAGAAATGACCTCAATAAGAAAATGCCCACACAAGACGAGTCTGTAGGCAACTCTGGGGCACACTCTTGACTAATGATTGATGTGGGAGGGCTTATCTCGTCACGGGCATGCCACCCCTAGGCAGGTGGCCCAACAATGTATAAGAAGCAGGCTGAGCAAGTCACAAGTTCAGCCTCCAGGCACCTGCCCTGCTTGATGGCTATGAGGCATAAAATGAAATAAACCTTTTCCTCCCCAAAGTTGGTTTGGGTCAGAGTTTTTGTTATAGCAAGAAAAAGCAAACTAAAATAAAGCGTACCACATTTAGAACCAGCGGATTAATCTGAATCCTAAAAGTAAATAAGAAGACTGCCTTGTGGGACCAACAATACTATGGAAATTACAATTAACTGCTCATAGGATGAAAAAGGCCCTGCTTTAGTGCCGTGAGGCTTGTTTCATTTGACACAAAAAAGAACTCTAGAAGCCAATAAGGACAAAAGGCCACACACCCGCACATGAGAAAGCCCGATGGCTCTTCAGCACACAAACATGTTTAATGTGAGCTTCATACAAAAAATACAGGGACTGGGGCGCAGCTCAGAGTGGAATGCCTGCCTTCCATGCATGAAGCCCCGGGTTCCATCCCCAGCACTGCATAAAAGAAAAGGCATAAATTAACAAGTCCTCTGGGATGGTACTTCCATCTGTGCAGTGGGCGCAGGTCACAGCATCTGGCAGGCGGAGAGTGGACAGCTGTTCTTGGAGGTAGTAGGAAACAGCTTCGCCGTTTTGGAGGTGATCCCAGCGGTATTTATGGAAATTTCAATCAAGTGCATGGACCTTTTGAAGTCTTCTGAAAATCCACTTCTGTCTGAGCGTGTGCAAACTGTTCTGGTGAGAGGAGATTGACTGCCCCATTGCTGGCAGAAAACAGGGACGAGCAGAAGTACCCGTCAGTGCACCCTCATAGCGAAACTCAACTGTGGAAAGAAAGGGGGAACAGACATTTACCCAAGGGGAGGACAAACAAGGTCCCCTTACTTTCTAGGTTCTGTGCTGATACCCGGCTAACAAGAGGCAGACTAGTAAGAACAAACGGCTTTTTATAACACATCACCTAGCACGAGAGCCTCAGTAAGGAAGTGGAGACACAAAGACAAGCTGTGCTAAGCCTGAGTAAGGGCTGGGTACAGAGACTCTGGACCCCTCACACCATCCCTTTCTCTCTGGGTGTGAGGGAAACATCTCCCAGCCGAGAGCCTCCTCGGCTTCCCCAGAAGGGCAGCGTCCTCCTTGTACACTGGATGTATTTTGGCTGACTTGCTGAAAGTCAAGGTGCACATTTGAAGGTAAGCTTTCTGAACCCCATCATCACTGTGCACTGTTGTGTAGGCAGCAAGAGGGAAACACTTGAGCGTGCTCACACACGCACAAACCACCCTGCAAGCACACACTGTGCTGACTCACCAGTTAGCAATACTGATGCCCGGCAGGAGGAGCACGTAGCATCGCTCACCGTCTGCAGCTTGGGCATCAGTGTATGACCTACACAAGTACATTTCATTTGTGTGATTTAAACAGTATTTGGGGTGTGTGTGTGTGTGTGTGTGTGTGTGTGTAAGCCAGAGGCTGACATCAGGCGTCCTCCTCCATCTTTCCTCCACCTCCCTGTTTCAGACATGACCTCTCACTGAACCTGGAGCTCACCGTTTCAGGTCTCACCTGACTGCATCTGCCCGGCACCAGGACTACAGGAGAAGCCGCCACACTTGACTATTTCATGAGTGCTAGACAGCTCAGCTCACGTCTTTACATGGGCCTGACAAGCACCTTGCTCATCGAGCCAGCTCACCCCAGCCTGAGGAAGCTTTTGAAAAAAAGACTTACTGCTAAATTTAAGTGGGGAATGGAACGCGGGACCTCTGGATGAACAGCAGAGGTCGTAACTGCTGAGCCAGCTCTCAGCGCTAAAGCTTTTTTTGTTTTAAGTTTTTGAGACAGGGTCTCACTGTGTACCCCTAGTTGTCCTAGAACTTGCTCTGCAGACCAGGCTGTCCTCAAATCAGAACCACCTCCTCCTGCCTCTGAGTGCTGGGATTAACCCATCACGCTCAGCTCTCGGTAATCTTTATTAACCTATTCCAGATGTGTGACTACACGACAAGCACATAGCACAGGTGACCTTGTCGGAAGGCCCAGCTCCACAGGTCATCAGACTCCCACCAGCAAGTCCTAGAGGAGCAGTGTGACCCCTGCACTTCACCCACTTTACAGACCAGATCCTCGTGCCCATTCAAAACGCTTGGCAGAGCTGTGCTCTCCTAATGATGGGTGGACTTGTGCCTTGGCAAGAGGCATTGCCTTGTCTCAGTTCCCTGAGAATTTAGTTCCGTCTGCTTCTCAGTGATGATCTAAGAAGATGGTCAGGTCTAGTGGCTCAGGTGTGAGCTCCCAGCTACTCAGGGGGCCAAGGTAGGAGGATCACAAACTCAACACCTGCTTGGGCTACAGAGAAAGTTCAAGACGGTCTGGGCAACCAAGAAACAATGTTTGCTTTCCCCCTCTGGCTGGCACTCTCCATGGAAGCCCTGAGCTATCATTCTGTCTGCCTGTACCAAGGACCTGTCTTTCCTGACTTACCACTGCGGTTTCTCGGGTGGAAGATCCTTTTCACTGCCTCATGCATGCCAGGAAGGTGCTATACCATTAAGCTATACCCCAGCATTTTATTCACTAAAAAGAATTTTCTTTGCAAAGGACCCACATGGAGTTCACTTCAGAGACACACTGCTGTCAGTGCCGGGGTGGGGGTGGGGGGGTCATGTAATAGGTAAGTGGCCAAGAGTGTGGGCTTAGGCCTGCAGTTAAGTCTTGGGCACTTCTTACAAGCTGTGTGACCCCAAATGGTATACTCAGAAAAAAAACAGCTTTCTCCTTTATAAACAGCAATATATAGTCATTCAATGGGATTGTTAAGAATATTTTTTTAAAATATTTTAAATTTATTTTAGCTGGGTAATGGTGGTGGCGTACACCTTTAATTCCAACACTTGGGAGGCAGAGGCAGGCAGATATCTGAGTTTGAGGCCAGTTTTGTCTACAGAGCAAGTTCCAGGACAGCCGGAGCTACACAGAGAAACCTTGTCTTGAAAAAAAAACAAAAAATGATTTTATGTATATGGGTATTTTGTCTGCATGTCTGTATTTGCACCCTGTATATGCAGCACCTGTGTTCAGTACATGTATGTGTACTGTGTAGACATATATGTGGGGGCCAAAAATGGAAGTCAGGTTGTACTGTAGAATTATAAACTGTGAACTAGGTGGGTGCTTGGAACCAAATCCAAGGCATCTGCAAGAATAGAAGGTTCTCTCAACTGGTGAGCAGCTGCCCAGCCTGCTGTCACTAATTTATGAAAGAAAGTTTGTAATGGGTTTCCCTAGCACACTGCTAAGGCTACAGTTAAGATGACGTTATCCTCATGATTAAAATAGTTAGCCAATCACACAATACAGCTAATCTTGCACCCAAAGAGAATCTGCCATGTCCCCACAGTGACACTGTAATGCTCTCCTTCTACCACCAGGAGGCATATGATGGACCCAAAATACTGAGAAAGCCAGTCTGGAGCTTTCTCGGGGACAGGTTAAAGTTGCTTTCTTGGGCACCTCAGGTCTACCCTGAGCTTTCATTTCTGTTTGTACTCTAAAGGCCAGGCTTTATCTGTGGCAACAATAGCTGCTAACTGCATGCATGTTTGCTAGGCTGTGAGCATGCATACTTGCACTGGCGTGCACATACACATAGGTATATTAGTGATATTCAGTATATTTCAGGGTAAAGGGCAGAGCAGAACCATAGTGAAGAAAAACTACAGAGAAGCAGACCTAGCCCAGGAGGAGGCTGTGCAAGTCTCAACCTGAGGCATCCTCACACCATGGAGACACACACACTGTACACAAGGAAACTCTTCCCTCCTCTCCCTGCCCCCATGCACTGGAAGGGGACCTGGGCTCATCAGCACTAGGAACAGTGTCCCAAACCGAGATGCACTGGAGCCCTGCTGGACTCTAGAAGGGTCTTCATGGCTTTTTTTTTTTAAAGAAGCACCACGGATTGAATAAACATCCCAGGCACATGAACCTTGGTTGGATGCCCTGGCACACGAGGGGAGGAAGGAAGGAGTAGGCAGCTACGCGGTGAACTGCCAGCCTAGAGTAGTTCTGGGGAACTGTGACCGAGGAGAGCCCTAACATGAAGCCCAGCTACTAGAGTTACCTCAGCAAGAATACAGCCAAAGCCATTGGAACTCTCCAGTGAGGTAACAGAGGGCAACAGCCTGGGCTGAGCAGCTCAAGGAATTCTGTGCTGTACGTCCAGATTTTACGGGCCCCAAAGAAGGTGAAGCTGCCTCCTTGACTGTGGTTTTAAAGAAGAGCAGGTCACACTGTGAGCAAGGCAGAAGCGTGAGACAAGATGGGATACACTAGAGGTGGCTATGCTTGAGGAAGGGGTTTTCTTTGAGGAAGCTGAGTGGTCACTGGGTGCTCTGGGGGGCATCTCATCTCACTGCATGCCCAGCAGAAGAGTGTGGAGTGTGACAGACCTGACTCCATCAGCTCTGGACGCTGGCTTTAGCCTGCATATATATTCTTCTTTAAGACTGCATAACAATCCACCCTTTATTTCTTCACCTTTGATTTTGTCAGGGAGAAGGGCATGTCATGCCACGGTGTGCCTAGGGAAGGCCAGAGTACAGACAACTTATGGAAGTTAGTTCTCTCCTTCCATTTGGAAACTGAATTAAAATCTTCAGGCTTTGTAGAAAAAGGTATCTTTACTAGCTACACCACCTTGATGGGTGCATTGCATTCATTATGTAAGGAGCACAGATGTCTTTTACAGTCTTAAGTTGTCTTAAGGAACTGGAGAGTTGGCTCAGCGGCTAAGAGTGCCTGATGCACTTGGAAAGAACCCGAGATTGATTCCCAGAACTCACATGGTGGTACACAACCTCTACTAACTCCAAACAAGGAGATCTGATGTCTTCTGACCTCTATGGTCACATATGATATACACACCTACATGAATACATAAAATTATAAAATAATATTTTAAAAAGTTGTTTTATTTTTTAATTATTTTTTATTGAGTTATATATTTTCCTCTGCTCCCCTCCCTTCCTCTCCCTTCCCCCCCCCATGATCCCCATGCTCCCAATTTACTCAGGAGAGCTTGTCTTTTTCTACTTCCCATGTAGATTAGATCCATGTATGTCTCTCTTAGTGTCCTCATTGTTGTCTAGGTTCTCTAGGATTGTGATTTGTAGGTTAGTTTGCTTTGCTTTGTGTCTAAAAGTCACTTGTGAGTGAGTACATATGATATTTGTCTTTCTGGGTCTGGGTTACCTCACTCAAAATGATGTTTTCTAGATCAATCCATTTGCCTGCAAATTTTAAGATGTCGTTATTTTTTTCTGCTGTGTAGTATTCCACTGTGTAAATCTTTATCCATTCTTCTGTTGAGGGGCATTTAGGTTGTTTCCAGGTTCTGGCTATGACAAACAAAGCTGCTATGAACATAGTTCAGCACATGTCCTTGTGGCATGATTGAGCATCCTTTGGATATATACCCAAAGTGGTATTACTGGGTCTTGAGGAAGGTTGTTTCCTAATTTTCTGAGAAATCACCATACAGATTTCCAAAGGGGCTGTACCAGCTTGCATTCCCACCAGCAATGGAGGAGTGTTCCCTTTACCCCACAACTTCTCCAGCATAAACTGTCATCAGTGTTTTTGATCTTGGCCATTCTTACAGGTGTAAGATGGAACCTCAGAGTTGTTTTGATTTGCATTTCTCTGATGGCTAAGGATGTTGAGCATTTCCTTAAGTGTCTTTCAGCCATTTTAGAATCCTCTGTTGAGAGTTCTCTGTTTAGGTCTGTACCCCATTATTTATTGGATTATTTGTTTTTTTTTG